GGTCTTATGGCCCCTTAGCGCTGTGGAAAGATAGGAGCCACATCGGGGAAGAGAGCGGGAAAAAAAAGCATATTTCAAACTTTATCTTTGACAGGAATCAGTTTGAGATATATAAGAAAAAAAAAAAGAAAAGCACATGTAGCACTAGAGACATTTCAGCAGAGCGTTGGAGGCGGAGTCACATGAAGTCAATCTGTCCTTTGAGACATTAGTTGTGTGTGTTTGGTGAATGCGTTCAATATGTCCGTGAACGCTGCCCACAGCAGGGTGAGCAGACGTCCTCTTTTTCCAGGACATGTCCTACTTTTCATACCTAAAAAAATGTCCGGGGGGGAATTTCCAAATCATGCGGGATTTTGGTCGACTTCAGCGCAGCAGAAGCCGTCAGCTCTACGGTGAAGTTGGATATTTAAGCTCCGCGGAGTCAGCGGCGTCTAGCAAACGGTTGATCCGACTGAGGGACCCCGATGTCNCGCATAGCGTAGAGCGGAGAAGAACTGACCAATCAGAGGCCTCCTGTCTGCTGCACCGTCTGAGGTCTCCTACAGTTTTTGGGAGGTGCAGCAGAGTGTCTGCGGAAGGGGGGGGGGGCATCTCTGAAACCAGGCTTTATCCTCGTGACTCCAACCCCTGCCTGTCCTGGAAAATGGCCGACCATCACAGCCCCAGTGATTAATGAGAACTTTGAGGTCTGAGCTCCTCCATGTGGTTCTTGGCTTTCTGCGACCTTCTCAATAGATCGCTGATGTTCTCTAGGAATTGCTTCTTTGGCCATCCGCTCTGGGAAAGTTCATCCCTGCTCCACCTTTCCTCCTCCTGTTGCTGTTGGAAACGGCATGTGAGGCTCTGCAGAGTCATTTTATGTTGAGCTTTTTATTCTGATGAAGGAATTTGATTATTGATTAAAAATGTTTCCTATAAACAAAAAGACTGACTTTCTACAGGTCTCTAGTTAAGTGAGTGTATCTGGGAGGACAGGGGGAGGGGCTACCAGATGGCCTCCCCACTCAGATTAAAGGTTATTAAAGACTTTGTTTTGCCAACGCTGACAGATAAAAAATGTTGCTGTAAACAACCATCAAACATTCGGACAGATTCAAGCGTTGCTCAACAAACCCAGTAGACGTCCAGCAGCTCTCTGGCCCCCCCTGGGGTCCCCTGGGGTTCCTGAGCCACTGTTTCACATCAGGATAGTCTCCATTGGGGTGGGAATCGCATTTTTGCTGCCAATTTAACGCTATTTAGATGCATTACTAAGAGTCTGAACTTTTTTTTTTGCTGCAAAGTCGATTTAAATTCATAGCTTAATTTATACATTTAACAGATTTCTGAGTTTATTTTCTTTCTGACATAAAATCTCAAGGATTTTATCAGTTTGGATATTGATTTATTACAATTAATTTTACCATCGTTAGATTTTAATAATAAAATAGTCAGACTTAGACACCAATGCAAGTTTGACCTAAATTAGGGCGAACCAAGGTAGGCCTAAAATAATTCAATACATAACCCAATCAATCAATTATTAAACTTTATCTGTAAACTACAATTTTCATTGCAATGGAGATTTCCGTTTCAGTACAAACTTCACCCCAATACATCACATAGTTTGGGTGGGGGGGGGGACGGTTTACTGAGGCCATGCACGCTGCAGAACGCTGCCTTTGGCGTGGTCTTATGGCCCCTTAGCGCTGTGGAAAGATAGGAGCCACATCGGGGAAGAGAGCGGGAAAAAAAAGCATATTTCAAACTTTATCTTTGACAGGAATCAGTTTGAGATATATAAGAAAAAAAAAAAGAAAAGCACATGTAGCACTAGAGACATTTCAGCAGAGCGTTGGAGGCGGAGTCACATGAAGTCAATCTGTCCTTTGAGACATTAGTTGTGTGTGTTTGGTGAATGCGTTCAATATGTCCGTGAACGCTGCCCACAGCAGGGTGAGCAGACGTCCTCTTTTTCCAGGACATGTCCTACTTTTCATACCTAAAAAAATGTCCGGGGGGGAATTTCCAAATCATGCGGGATTTTGGTCGACTTCAGCGCAGCAGAAGCCGTCAGCTCTACGGTGAAGTTGGATATTTAAGCTCCGCGGAGTCAGCGGCGTCTAGCAAACGGTTGATCCGACTGAGGGACCCTGATGTCGGCCAGCGTCCCTCAGCTGCCCCCCCCTCCCACACACAGTGGTGCAGTTAGGGACCGTCAACAAGTCTTTGAACCAAGCACCTCTTGAGAAACAAAACTCACTAACTTATGACCATCTAAGACGAAACTAAAATAAATCATGCCAATAGGTAACAAATGTGAGGCACACTTGATTTTTATGAGAATTTAATCTACTTTCAATTTTCAAGATATTTTTAAAGACAAAAGTTGGGGCACGGTCATGTGACCCACTGACTCTAAATCTATGTCAAATTGTTCTACAATTTTAGCCTAATGGGGCGCACTCATTTCTATTCCATTTCAAGCCTTTGTATATTTTTGCCTTACTTCACGGTAAGGCAGGCGGGGGGGAAGCATACCGTCACCGGGTCGAGTTTGGACGCTCCGTCCCCAGCTGGCTCTGGGTTCGAATGCCCGGTCTGGTCCAGTCAGCGATCAACCACCGCCGCCAGCCTGCGTTCAGTCGCACCCAGCATACGGCTCAGCTCCTGATCCTGCTCCTTCACAGCCTTTGTGAGCGTTTCAGCTGCTGCCATCAGCCTGATCGACGCCCAGATAGCCGCTGACATCCTCTTCCATTGTAGATCCATCATAAGGAGAAATCAGAGAATCATAAAACCAAAAATCCACACATCTTCTCCATCTTCCACTGAAACACACCATCCTCCAAGCCTTCCAGGAGTTCATGGTGTTTCCCATGAAGTACGTCCCAGCAGGACAGGAAGGGTCCCCATTACCCTGCCTCCCATTTCAGAAGATTTGATCTAGGGCTGCAACTAACGATTATTTTAAAAATCGATGAATCGGACGATTATTTTTTCGATTAATCGATGAATCGGACAAAAATATTTTTTATATTAACCTCTTTATTCCAAAATAAACATTTTA